CTCAGTCTTAAAAGAGATAAATTGTATTCATGTCAGGACAGATGAGGTATAAGGTAGTCACCGATTACCTGCGTACCATTACAATATTGCGCAAGCACCTGGTTTATCTGTTGAACAGCTTTGGAATAAGACCCACTGGACAATTTTAGGGTGGAGCCTAGATTTAGAATAAGCCTGCAAGATTTAGTGAAACGTGAAATGGACCTGGCTTGAAATGATCCGACAGAGAACTGCAGTGAGAGCTATCTTTTTTACTCAATTCCAAAGTGACTCTGTGTGTAGTAGAGTAATATCATAGCATTAAATAAACCATTCCCACTTCTCAAACACGGCCGAGATTTTTCCAATCGTGGCGTATGGAAGCAGTGGGACTTTATTAGCGAGTCTCCCCGTTGAAACGCAATGGGGCAACCAATTTAGTCAAGGGTTAGATTTTGAACATTATAGAGATCGCTTGTCTGCGATCAAATGAACGCTGGCATTATGCTGAGATATGTATATTAGCATGTCATCTATACGGAGGGATGTGTGTGTGTGTGTGTGTGTGTGTGTGTGTGTGTGTGTGTGTGTGAGAGAGAGAGAGAGAGAGAGAGAGAGAGAGAGAGAGAGAGAGAGAGAGAACAAGAATTAATGACTGTACAAACCGGTTCAACCTGAGCAGACGATAGAGGAAGAATCACATTACAAAAATAAAAAATTACAATTACCAAGTGAAATAAAGAAGAGCATCATTTTTCAGAGGTAGCAAGTGCATCTAGGCACCGAAGACCAAAGACCTCAATCAGATATCTATGGAAAATTTTACAGGAGAACGCCCGCATTACATATCAAAATGTATCATAATTACACGTGTCACAACATCTAGTACAAGATACATTGCCAAAATGTCTTACAAATTGCCTTCATCTTGATTCATACTTTTGAAGGAGTACATTTTCCAGCAGCAATAAAACATCTTTATACCTGAAATTTTCCCTACATGTAGACATTAGACGTTACGGGAAACATTTAGAACTGCATTATTTAATCAAAATGGTATAAAACAACAAGTTCAAGTACAGGGACGAGTTGAGCCATGATTCGTGGGTTGGAGAAAATTGCTTTCTTTTTGAAAGAAAATTCAATGTCATGGGGAAAATATCTATAAGGGACCATTAAGGGGTAATTAATTATGGTTTAGCAGCTTCAGTAGGCGTGCCAGACATCTAAGCAGCTTAAGCTAAAAGCAATTTAGCGAGAAATCCCTTGGAGATGGATCGATTCTGTTAGATCGATCTAGGTATGGGCACCCAGTCTAAGGCACTAACTACAAGAATTTAGTGCCCTTCTCAGGTATGCGGCTAAACGATCGTTAAGTCAATGTTGCTGAAACGACAAAACCTTTTAAAGCTGTTTTTAATTTTGCAGTGCCCTAAGGAAATATGCCAAACGAGAAATAAGTTGCTGAGTGACAAATTAAGAAGGAGTAACCATCTTGTGTGAATTAAAAAAAAAAAGAAGTAAAGAACTACAGTTCTTAGATAAAAAGCGTAGAAATATTCAAGATCACCAAACATTTTTGACATAATCACATGGTTTGTACTCCTGTGGCGTTTCCAAGATGTCACTGTTAACATGCGTAATTCATTTATTCAAACATGCTATATTAAATGAAGGTCAAAAATATCCACCTTTGCTTAAAACACAACATGTCCTCAGAACTTTTTTGGGAATAAATCTAACTGAAATCAACCTAAAATGGTAATTAAAATTTCGTCTTGGCCTCCTGCATGGTTGCATACATACATAATGCCTTATCCCGCTGTCGCGCCCCCAAGATAAAAAAAACAACAAATGTTCGTAAGATCAATTAAAATTTCAGTGTGCTTTAAGAAGGAACCGTATCATTCATTCAGTGCATACAGCTTGCGGCAAGTCTTTCGGGTTCCTTTTCGACATAAAACCGCGTATCGGTATCACCGCTGGCTTGTTGTCACCTTTAAAGTAACAGTGGACCATAAAGAATACGGTTGTCTGGGGAAAGTCTTGCAAGTTCAGCTGTAATACTTAACCTTGTAAAATTGTATCCCTCGCCACGTTTTTTAAATATTATTATAGCATATAGTATAGTATATGCTATTACTTGCCATGAAGGTAAGACGATAGAGTATCATTTTTATACTGGGATTAGCTTAAGAGAAACTTATATGTCGTGGCCTATCATAGTGGCAAAGAATGTGCTTGCAGCAGTGCCGGTCTCACCTAACACATTCAAACAACTGTCGCATTTTTCTGGCAAAATTTGCCCTCTTTTCGAATATAATTTTTGCATCCTTAATTCCTGTGACACGCACTTGTTGAAATTTATGACCAGTTTAACAGGCACTGTGCTTTTATTCTACCCTCTACCAGGGCGACAGATTGATTTTCCACAGATATTCACAGATGTCTCTAGATAAATAGACAGTCATTTTGGTCTGATGTCGATTCAGCCAAAAATGTCCACAATAATAACTGCGGTCCTGGTAGAGGGTACTTTTATTTCCTTTGTCACAATCATCTTTTTACCAAATATGAAATACCAAGGTGGTTTAATCTAAAAAAGTAATGTTTGGGATATTTTAATATCTTAAAAGTCACAGTCACACAGCAGTGCAAGACGCTTTAATGGTAGTTTTCCCTGTTTTACCTCTTTAAGCACTATCATAACAGCACCCACCTGTCATATTATGGGCTTTCACCGGTGACTGTTGGCAAATGTTACGAGGCGTACTGCTAAAACGCATGTTCCAAAACAGTATAATTACTCATAAAAAAGACATGTGTTCATGCCTGAAGCTATCAGCCAGGTTGACTTTAACGTTGTTGACGTCTTCATTTTGTTTATGGATTATGTAGATGAGAGTGTTCAAGTGCGTAATTCTCTCTCGACCTTTGCATAAATTTTGTATAATATAGTACAAATGGTATGGATAAAGGATAAGGGATAGTTGTCATCTTCGTCGTGCTCTCTCTTTCTTTCTCTTTCTCTCTCTCACACACACACATACACACGCGCGCGCGCTCTCTCTCTTTCCCCTCTCTCACTCCCTCGATCAGACACACACATACACATACACACACAAACACACGCACACACAAGCACAATACATGTCTCTCTCTCATTATTGGCCGGAAATGAAGGGACTTAAAGTTCACAGACCTAAGTACCGAAAAGTGTAACTTTTCTTCGCAAATTACAAAGCACCACATTACCATGTAGACCACATTTTTGGTAGTAAAAAGGTACAAATATTATGCATATTACCTGCCTTGTCTCTTCACGAAGCACGCACATGTATGAGCAGAAACTTTCTCTTCACTGAACGCAGCCGACAAAATAGACTGGCGCGAGCACTTAATGTCCTCCTTTCTTTCTGCGGTGTTACATTTCACACCTAGGCGTCGTGACACTTCTCTATGTCAAACGAAATTCTTTCTGCGTTCTTCCACCACGCATATTCAAGCAGCCGGTTGTGTTTTTTTCCTCTCTTAACTGTTACTGTATACGATTGAATATACAGAGATGAGTAGAATGAGCCTCTAATTCTCAGTTCTCACTTAATGATTCATGTAATAATCACATACGAAAATGTACACTGTCCTCTAGTTTTTCTTGTGTAATCTAAAACACAAGCAGTCTTGAAGTCTTGAACCCTTCTGAAAAGTTTACCCGTTTACTTATTCTCTTCTCTGATTCAAAGAAAGATAAAAACGTCGTTCTGAATGGGGTCGAGGTCTTACCTCTGCCGTGACGCCGTGTTCTCAATCGAAGACGGCAGCGTGACATCCACCTCTACATCAGACGACGTGACGGCGTTGGAATTACCCAGTCGGTATGGGTATTATATTTCATTTCAGTTATCACACCTAGGTCACCAGTCGTGTGGTTATTTTTCATGTCTCCACACCACACCTGAGCTGCAGAACCAGTAACGGCACTAGTCACCAGTCCTTCCTAGTACCCCCAACGTGGTGTACATTTCAAATTCCATTTGCGGTCTCTCTAATGATGTCATTCCTTTCACGTTCAACTTAGTGTCTTTGCCCATTCTGAAGTGACAGTAAAATAGATACTAGCCAAAAATATACATTGTGCATTAACGGCTGCGATATACAGGTTTTATGAGGGCTAGATGTTTTGTTTGGGCCTTAGGAAAGGGTGGTTGCGTGAAATTGAAACCGCGACTGTTGCCCCTCCTCCTATCCATCATCTGTAGTGTGACAAAGACGGCGTGACGTCATGGAAGGGGGAGGGGCGTCTTTGAGATAAAAGAGGCCGGATGATGGGTGCCACAAGTTTAGATACGAAATACATTGGCTTTGTTCTTTGATTGGAGATGCTGACGTCTCAGTGTGGATGTTATAATTAATAGGTTTGTCCCTGTCTTTCATTTTCTTTGTATGTTTTCATTTCTATTTATTATTTCCAATTATTATTATTATTATTATTATCATTATTATTATTATCATTATTAGATTTAGGTTGGTGTCTCATTTGCTAAATTCGAGTTTTATCGTTATTGGCCGCATTTCCTTAGTTTTTATTTTCAGATTTGCCAAGAGAGAGAGATGTAGAATACAGCACGTCAATTTTACTTTTAAAATTACTAATTATAATGATGTCAGGTTGGTTATAACCATACAAGCCACCAAGTGAACAGAAAGGTTAAGCATCGGCGGTGTCTTTTCGTGAAAGGACTTCTTACATTGCATGCGATATGTGAAAACTAAACTGTTGCGGTCTCACAGCGCACTTTACTTGAGAGAGAGAGAGAGAGGGAGGAAGGAAGGAAAAGAAATATTGCTGGGGTTGTATATGAAAACTGCACTGTATATTATATTGGTCTTTTGGTCTTAAACATTTAAACGTTCATTTTTTTTTTTTTTTTTGGGGGGGGGAGATATTATATATTAGCAACGGGTGGAAACAGTATTATTCTTAACGAGAGTGAAAGAGAGAAAGAGACAAACTTCTAGAACTGTGCATATTGCATTTCGCTATTTATTCATGCCAAAAAGTTACAGCAGCAAACAAATACCATTTCACGCGCAAGAGTGTGCATACATGAATAACCCGAAACAAGACAATGACCGAGATTTTTCAAATCTCTTACTTTGAGTAAGCTAGACTACTTGTATGTGCTTCGAGACAATGCTTTTTCTGAGATTCCAAACCTGCTTGGCCGACAATACGGTTTCCAAATAAAGGAGCAGTCATAGCATTTAAAACAGCGTTTCATCAGTAAAAAAGGTTCCACTTTAAAGTGTCATTCACTTAATCCCCATCTATAAACACAATGGTCCACAAATAAAAATACGTCGTGGGCATGTATATTCGCTTTAACAAAATCTCCAATCGTTTCTAAAAATAACAGAACGCCTTGGGTAAAACGTAAAATAATAAAAATGGAATAATAATAAATGATCATTTGTTTTTAGTACATAAAGCTGGTATACCTAACATAAATATCAAAGATATACAAATTACACCAGTGCTGAATTGTTTATATATACATATACAAACGGATCTTAAACCGTGCTTCTAAAAATGCCAGAACTTTTGTACTATAATATTTATGGATACTCGCTTGAAGCATCCCTTTACCTACGTATGAAGCAATGAATAGAGGTTATAAAATAAGGCAACAAATGTTTACCCAGAACAAATACAATAAATAATGAGTGAAAACAGTTGTCAACTGGTGCAATAAATATCATAATTATCATGAAATCGTCTTTAGGCATAGCAAGCATTACAAGGATGATGCAATTTCTACTTTTCGACAGACAAGAACAGGCGACATTTTGTCTCTATGCATATTTGTTAAGATTTTGCATGAATAAACTTAAAACTTAAATAAGTATACATTTCACTTAATTACTTATAGTGATATCAAGTGGGATATGTACAGGCATGTTTTTGGTCGAGTCGCCAATATTACCATTGACAATACGGATCGAATTTTGAACAGTGCAAAGTTTCTATTATGCAGTTTGTATTGAAATAATCCGGTGTGACAGGACTAGTAGTCCCTTAGGAACAGTAGCCCGTTCCCAATTACTTTCTACAGGTGGTATTCTTCACATATACTAACTCCAATTTCCCGACTAACTCTAACCTGTACTAATCATATGGGACCCCGGACTTCCATTCCTAGGACTACCATTCCTGTCACACAAATTAAAACCAAGTATTCTATTCCAATCTCCCCAGAATCAAGAAGAGCAACTCTTGCTCGTAACAAGTTTCGCTTTTGGCTTATCGCTGGCAGCAAATGTTTCAAAGTCATTGAATTCCTCCATATACTCTATCATCGCCTCTACAGTTTCAACTATATCCTGAGCGAGTGATTCCGTATAGTTATCGGATATAGTCTTTGATTCATCCAGAAGACTCAAGTCAAAACTGAACAAATAATTCGCGTTAAGTTTCCTCAAAAACGAGATGTCGTCAGACAGACGCTCTGGTAGCCCCGGAAGATCTCGAAGTTTCTCGAGCAGTTTTGGAAGATATCGCGTCATTTGGAGATCGTGGTGATTCTCCTCTTCTGTCTTCTGAAGAATCGAAGCCACCAACATTTTTCGTACGACTTCGTAGCAAATCGTGCAGGCCCACTCGTACCCATGGTTCTGTTTCATAATTTTCGCACAATCGAGATCTCGTTTGGCCTGACGAAACCATTCCTTTGGCGGGTCAAGGCGGTCGGTAGGTGGCGCGTCGATCTTGATTCCTTCTTTCATCTCGGTTTTTGTTTCAGAAGCTTCAGCCTCCTTTGTCTCTGTCGTGGGACTGGGTTGGGTATCGAAAAACTCTTCCCCATCGGTCCCAGGCGAAAATGGACTGTCGTCTGCTCCGTCTTCCATCGGTGACGTTGCTGTACGCTGAGAGCTGGTGTCGTCCTCAGTGGCTGTTGACGGGCTTTCGTCAGGCTCAGCGCTCTCAGACGTTGGTCTGTCTTTAGCTGACTCGCTCCTTGGAGTTGGCTTTGGTTCTGCTGGGTGTCACAAGAAAAAGAAAAAAATGTTACAAGAAATATCAAAATGTCGTGGATATTTTAGGAAAATACGTTCACCATACATGTATTAATGTCATCTTTTATAATCAAAAGGTGTAACGAAACAAATGCAATGTACTTTCATTAAACACAGAAATATCAAAGCATCCTTCAATCAGCTCAATTATAAACACTATTGTCAAAAACGGAGCCTATTCGTATACCTAACACGGTAAAACATGTATTCCTGGTAACAGACTACTAAAAAAATCGTTTCACCAAAACATAATCCGCAGTATAACTTCACATTTGACATGCATTCTCACCTGGTTTATCTGCAGGTTTAGAAGGTTCAGGTGGTGGTTCTGGTCGCTGAAAGTTAAACCGGAAATTGGCCGGGTTGGGACGATTAAACATATTTCCCTGCCCCTCGGCTTGCTCCTTAACGGGGTAAATCTTCTGAAGGCGGTCCAACTCTGCCTTCAGATGCTTAAACACCTCTGTCGCCATTAAAGTTCCCCCTGCTTTATCAGGATGCCACTTAAGGAACAGCCTTTTTCGCAGCTTGTCTCTCTCGTCATATCTACAGGAAAAATACACATTTATATTGCGGTTTTTTTACTATGAGAGGCAACTAATGAAGCACTGCCTTATCCTTTGATATATGGAACCATGTTAATTACCGAACCTATAACATTATTGACTGGGCAGATATAGGCCCTATTACATTATAAACCTGATGCTGAATTTAACACCACATGTTTTAAAATAATTTTATATCTACCCTAATATATACCCTAATACTCTCAGTAAAATGAATACTCAATTTTCAGTTTCCGTTTATATATTGGCTTATCACAATAATACTGAACAATTACCTCATAGGATCGCGGAAGACTTCTTCTAACAGGCGAGTCACCTGACGCTTCTGTTCCTCGATCTCCATCCCCTCTTTCAACCTCCTGTACATCTCTTCCGCCTCCGACAACTCCCTCATCAGCGCCCTCTGATGAGCAACATTGTCTGACTTCCGTTTCACCTCCCGATAAAGATCTAGCGACTGCGCAGTTAGAGGGTTCTCAAGGCCAACGTCTATAATGTACTCACGGAACATGTTGGAGACGTCGACCGGTTGCTCCTTGCGCTTGCACTCTCGTATGATACGTGCGTGGATCATTTCGTTCTCATATTCGGGGAGCATGTACGCGACGTACTCTTTCGGTTGGAAACGAACATCCGGGTCACAACTGTACATCCAGTGGTCCTCGGGATCTATGAAGGCACCAAGTCGGGGTCTGGTCATCATATCATCGTCCAGAGTGGACAACCCCTCCTCGACCAAAAACTCATCCAAATGATCTATCTTGCAACGCAGAAGTTTCGCAATTTTTCCTGAATCAATGCTGAAGGCGTTATTGGCACACAGCATTGTCTTTATGGCGTCTGCGACTGCTGAGACCATGTCTGCGTCACCGGGGTACTCGTCGTAGTGTTTAATGAACAGACGCATGTACCCTTCGTCCGAAACCTCGTGGTGGACCAGCTTCGGGGTGCTTATCAATTCCGTCGGGATGCCGCGCTCACAGAGGTAACAGTCTATCTTTTCAAAGCAGATGAAATCCATCACCTTTAATCTCTCAATGTTGTCTTCATAGTCGTCTCGATCAGGGTCCGGGGAGTGGCCCATCAGCATCAGCACATGCCCAAAAGCGTCTTGCGAGATTCGCATGCGGTATTCTTGCATGAAGGGACAGGTGGGACCTTTCATACAACGATACCGTACCACAGCCATTTGCTGGACCATATCAGACAGTATTTTGGGTCTTAACTCGTCCGGCAGGAGGTTGATGTACTCTCGCGGATGCTTTGGGAGGTTACAGCTTTGTAATTTGCATAGGTACTTGTATTTTTTCTTCTTGAATTTCTTCGCTATCATTTTGTTGTCGTTCACGATGAGTTGACTGGAGACGACCATGACTGCTTTGTCGGATGGCAAAAAGAGTGGGCCGGCGGTTAATTCGCTCTCTATATCCTGCTGAAGGGATGCAAAGAGGCCATATACGGCCGTGCTGGCAGTCTGTTTCTGATTAGTTTTGAGGGGATTTGTGCCAGATTCGGTCCGCAGCTTGTTGAGTACATTTGCATAGGTATTGGGTTTGGGACTCTTCACGGCTCCAAGACGCTTGAACAATTCATCGTACTTGGCCAAAGACATCGGTCTGGCGTACAGGTAAGGGTGCAGGGTGTCACTGTCAATGTCTGAGGGGAAGTTCAACACAACCTGGTCAGGTCGGACTCTTATTGTACCATCGTTAAGGACTATACACCTTGCCGTCTGTAGAGCTTTCATTTCCTTACACGTGTCACACCCAGGGTTGTTACAATCACACTTGAGGAGAAGAAAATCGTAAATATGCACCAAGACTTTCTCAAGCTCTTTCAAGGCTTCGTCTGAAAGCTGGTCGGTTACGGCCTCGCATAACTGTATGCAGTGCTGAGTGACGTCGGCGACGGAGGGCACCTGTTGCACGCCAAGAATATCGACAAGATTGTCGGGAATTTTTGCCCACTGGGGGAGGGTCGGGTTCACAGACCACGCCAGCAGGTCGTGCTGCAGGAGCTGGTGTTCTTGTCTACTCTCGTACTGCAGTGAGCCGGATAACTTCTGGAAACCTTCCGGCTGCTTTGGTGGGCAAACCGAGATGAGTTCGTCGTCATAGTCGATGGTGACTGCTGGAATAAACGGGATTTCTGAAAGCTGACGGAGAACGTCCTCATCGAACTCGTTCAGGACAGCTGTGGAGAGAACGATCTGAGCAAATTTCTGAGCCTCCTCCATATCCTCGGACATGTGGGATACAGCCTCAGCGCACTTAATCAGTTCCGCCGCTTCTATCTCGGTTTTCAGACCAGCAACCCGCAGAAGCTCCCTCCACTCCGGTCCACAGAATTCCTCCGGAAGTGGATGCAGGTCTCCAGCCAAGTGTAGTATTCCCATATCCAAGTCATAAAAATTACTGGCAAGCAGGAGATTACCTTCATAAGGGATGAAGGGCAGTTTCTGAAGTTCTGAGGTAAACATTTGCTTTGCTTGGTCTGTACCGAATGACAACAGCATTGGTAAAACAGAGTCTCGAATGCACTCCAAATGGGATTGTCTCATTTCTTTATCTATGCTGGCAAATTTGGGGAAAACATGATCCGTGTAGACATCTATTGTATTTTTCTTGCTGATACCTAACGCTGTGTACAAGTCACTGTAGGCCTTTTTCTCCTTCAGCAACACACGGTCCGAACTTCTCATGTAGCCTGTGATTCCTTTCGTTGGAATGGAATCGTCTAAAACTGCTACAGAAACAGCAGACGCTATGGACCTGAAGTCCCCTTCAATAGTTTCATAAATTGGGAGGAGACGCAACGTCTTAAGAAAGACGCCACTGCGACGAATTGACTCTAAGTCGTTTTTAAAGAAGAACAAGAACGTTTCACATTCGTCTTCGGAAAACTCACAACTATGAAACGGGTAGACAGTGAGCATGTACAGAATGTCCTCCGGGTGAGAAGCGTCCATAACACACGGCGACGCCATATCACTTATGTCCTGATCCGTGAGGTCGTCGTCTACAAGGTCAGTGGTGTCTAAAGTTGGGAGACCCATTTTCCGGACTATGGTCTGAATGTCTTTCGAAGAGTTGCAAAGATTTACCAGATTCTTGCCCTCGCTTACTTTATAGAAGCGGCCGTCCGAGCCTGGTAATATAGGCAGGTCGCTCATCATGACCATGACGGTCCTGTTGTTGTATCTGTTTGTATTTTCCCGCAGAAACTTCCACATTAGGGTGAGCCATGCCCGATCTCTGACACATGGCGAAGTTGCTTGTATGTAGTTTGGAATGTCTGCGACCACCAATTTTCGCACGGGAGTGTTGGTGTAGGTTTGGGCCACATTCAAAAGTGGTGCCAAATCTTCGTGGATGAACAAGTCTTGGTTGTATGGCAACAAGGTTTTGTACTCGAGGGACAAAAACACGGGCGATCTACGCCGAAATTCTTTCAGCTGGTTTGTCATGGTGACACACAGAGGCAATCCGTCGAGCCGATGGTAGTCTTGGTTGCTCTCTTCTAGGAGACAATACTCTAGGAGAATCTTGGCGTTATCTACAGTGCGTAGTTCAGTTGCAGAGATTGGCTTTGGAAGACCCATCCGTGTGGCTGCGTCTTTAAGGCAGCTTGTGGCTACCCTGGGGGTGAGAAAGTCTATGTCTTTCATTTTGGCTGCAAGTATCCGTTCTGTGATCTCGGGAAAGTTGCATATGTTAACACCCAACACCATGAGGCTTTTCTCCACATCTTCATTGTGGTCTTCTCCGTGTACAAAATATAAGTCCTTTGGTCCAAAGAATTCAACCTTCTGTCGAGCATCATTTGAGACACTCGAGGGTCGCAGCAAAGGTATCACAGGCAGATTGTTGTGTAGTATACAGAAATACAAATCTTTGACTAGTTCTTGGTAGTATGATTCAGTGGCGACCTCTATGTGTGGAAACAACCTCAGATACCACTCGCCCACGTTGCGGGTATCGACCTGTCTGGTAATACTGCGTAGAAAGGAGCAATAAGCTGGGACTAGCACGTGATGGAGCAACACACGATTCCAATCGCCAAACGCGGTGTTTGACCATAGGCTACGGCGCGAGGAGTGAATGGCAAAATGCCCATTGACGTGCACGGGTAAGCCGTTCTCGATAGGGAGCTGTAGGAAGCAGAAAGTCTCGCCCTTCAAGTCCTCATTATCACGTCTTGAGGCGAGGCCTGCTATGGGACTGAATTTTTTCCCTGAGAACGACCCTCCCACGAACTCATTTAGGAACTCTGATTCGTCTTCCGTAAAGTCACCATGAAAACCAAACGTTTGATTGACTGTCCAGTTTGTGGTATTGAATTCATCCTCTGTTACCATGTTGTAAGTGATGGAATTTTTCGTAATATCCCCGACACCGATCCTCCCCTCCATAAGTGCCTTGATCTCAGTAGACAGACGCTGATAGGAGGACTTAATCTCCCGGTGGTCTACGGCACTAATCTTGCGTTTAACTTCGGTGACCATCTCTTTATTCCCATCGGGATGAATCACCATAACACCTATATAGTCCACAGTCTTGGTAAACAAAAGGCACTTATGAAGAAGCAACCTGAACTCTATCGTCTCCAGATCTCTCTGCATTTCCTGAAGGCAGTCCTCGTCGTAATGCCGATTAGAAATTTTGGAATTCATCTCTTTTGTGCGAAGGGGAAATCGGAACACCGTGCTACCGCTCTGCTGGACATACTCATCAAGAAAGCCCCGGATGACGTCAGACCACGTGGTTTTGAACTCAGGTTCCTCCTTAAAGTTCACGTGACCACCAGGGCAGCCGTTGTTTGCTCCTGGGACGTAGGTCAAATGGGGGTCAAACATGCAGAGGTTGACACCATCTGACAACAAAGTCGGGCAGTCAGTCATCTGGTAAACTACGTTGAAACCGATGCCAAACTGACCTGCAAAGAAATATTGTAAATGGCCATATTACAAAGATGTTGAATTACTTTCTAATCCTTAAACGCCTGTTATTTTCATAACTGTTTCAGGTTCGTGAAGAGGAAGATAAGGAAGATTTTAGATATATTAACCGCATTATTATACATGTTCAATAGAAAAACTATTCGCCATATAACTAATATTAATTGTGTATCAAAAGTTACACTCATCGTAAAATAAATATCAAATAATCATAAAACATACACCCATCTTTGACATAAATTAACTGGATGAATGGCACATCTTATCATAAATAAGTAATTACTGTATGTAAACTAAATATAGGTACCTGTTTTATCCGGATCACTGCTTTTGCTTCCCACTCCAAGCTTCTGTATAGCTTCAATATCGTTATCTGTGAAGATGGCGTTATTGTACACACAAAGTGATGGTCCCTGCAGTGGTTTCCATTCGTCCCACACATTTTCTGTCGGCAGATGGCGCTTGTCCAAGATGAACATGACCTTGCTAGCTTTTGCGTCGTCTGCATTTTGGGTTAGCTCCTTGACAACTTCTTCCAAGCCTATCCCTTTTGTGTCACCGACATATTGGTTTATAATGTTTTTAATTCTAACCGTAGGTGGTTCATGTTGACCGAAGCGGTTAAACCTGGGTTTGCGCTTCTCGTGCTCGCCGTTGGCAGCGTCGTAAATTGGCCGAATCGGAGCCTACGAGAAAAAGAAAAAAACAAATAAACACTCAAACGATTTCGAAGTTACCAAAGCCGGGATTGTAAATGAAACGGCATTGTAAATGAAATATGAAAGAAGTGTACATGAAGATGCACGCTGAACAATGCAAAAACATCATGGTCAAGATAAAGATAATTAACTGTTATGACAAATCCAATTCCTTGCGTGCCTCGATTTCCAACTGTACTTTACCGCGTACAATATATATTTACCACCAGCATCTAAAATATAACGTGATGCCGATGAGTCAGTCGAAACATTAAAACTTCATTATGCTATCTAATTTAGACTTTCAACATCCATGGTGGTTCAATCAGAGCATTTTCAACTACTTTTCGATTGGACCAAATACTGAACCAACGGCGGTGGTTCCCTTTCTTTTTTCATCTACATATAAAAACCTACAATCAGCAAACACTGGATGACCAAGATAAATAACTACCTCTTAAGCACTTGAGCTTAGATAAAATGCTTTTAAATTTCGCTTTGCCCAAAAGCAATGGAACAGGATGGCAGTACTTCACGTGCAGACAAAACAGCAGACATCTATAAATGTCCGCAGAAAACCTGATTGCCTCTAACATTTGTTGAAACTCAATAAAATGCACATACAGCATTATGTAATATTTGTGCAATAAAATCAATTTGTACGTAACGCGTAACGACCACATAGAAGAGTGCCTGCTGTAATAGTCGTGATTATGATTCTATACAGAACCAAATGCTTATCCGAGTCTTACATTAATTGTCCAATCATCATTCTGAACCAGAACTGAAATCTGCAATACAGTGCTTCAAAGCAGATACTTAATGATGAGTGTTCGTTCATAAGCGTTTTGAAATTATTAAATTTTATTAAAACAAAGGTTTCAATACTACCCTTGATTAATGTGATTAATGGGTGATTTAGTGTATTAACTGGCATAGGAAGACTGTCAGCATAAATGACTACAAGGTCCTCGGTGCTTGCTCCAAAGAACGTTCACGGTTTAACTACTATGTGCATAGATGTACTGAATAATGTAAAATATTGAACGGCTTTATATGGTTCGCACTAGCTGTTCACAGGACAGATAGAGTGTGGTTACACACAGTGCTCGTGGCGAGTACCACGTATAAAGCCAACGAGCTTCAGACGTACTTGTCAATATATGTATGATTAGTGTGGATGTGTACAGATGTCAAGTGGTCCATCTGTTAATTAATGAGACGACTGTGTGACGCAGGCCGACACGTGCTTTCGGGACACCTCAATTAACGCAATGCCAGATTTCACCTTACCTGAGGTATGCTTTTGTCTTCCATTGAAATCTGCATATGTCAGGTGAAACATGTATGCGACATACGTCTCTTCCTACTAGTACTGTGTCATGATATTAAAGCGGTCGTGACCACAATTCCATGCTATGCAGATCCTTACATATCGTATATGCATATTTCATTTTTGCTGTACTGCATACTCATCTTTAAGTGAATGCACAGACAATATGGCCGTGCTTCTGAGATTGATTGATTTTATACATGCGGCCCAGTCGCCATCCGTCAATGGGGAGAAACACTGTAAATCCAGCCATAAATGGTTAGCCTTATTCTATATTCTTACTACCTGCATGAAATTATCCATTTAAGAGTCAGCAATATCTTATACACACGGTCGAATATGCCGTCCCAATCTAGCCCCGAACTGCAACGCGAACCATGCCCAGTAGTGTTTCTCTTTCTGTTCTAATGCCACTGTAGGTATAACGCAGCGTGTGATAAAAAGGCACAGCAGGGTCAGTATACCGTTAATGCCACTGAAGATCCAATATTATATGGGTCTGTTGCACAATAAAGGGTTGATGAGATAGATTCGTGAAATGCATGAATAGTTCCGGTATTGCAAATCCGGCTAATAATAACTACACTTACTGTCAGCAAAGCCTGCTGAAGACGTGGCACTGAAATTCCTCTCCGAGTTAAGAACAGTCAAAAATGTCTTTGTAATGAAAATATCCAACTGCGCGGTATATTGCAAAACAGATACGGAAAAATATCCCTATCACATCTGATTGGAATCACATATTGATACTGAATAAAATTCCAAGAACTTGGAACCCGATCAATAATGTCAAAATACATATATATATGTCGGAATTATGAATACCTGTGAATGCAAAGCACGTTAGAAGCAGGTGCTGTCTGAAATTACTACATGTAGGTATACGCTAGCCTCATGCTGTGCATTTTCTCAGCTGATACATGTGCTGATAGGTATTGGATAGGACCGCTGGGTAGGAAAGGCAGTCAATACAGATATTTTTAATTACCTCTAGTATAGACTTTGGGATGAGATATATTAAGGGGACCATAGCTATCAATAGGAAATAACTTAAAAACACCTGTTGTTTCTACCTCCACTCCTTCCCAAGCCATGTGTAACCACATCCTTATTAAAGCTGTTTAAAGCAGTAAAGATTAAAAGACGTAGACCAAGCTTTCAATATTTTAACATAGTCAATAATATATCCTTTGCCTCCACACATGAATTCCAACGACATTTGGGAAAAAAGTGCAAACTCGCTTTTACTGGCTGTAGATAGACAAATGAAATGAGTTGTGCTGTTTCACCTTTATGAGAACATCTAACACAACAAAGCAGCAACACATTCGAGACACCTCGAGTGATTTCGTCGAGGCACGAAATCGTCCGCAGTTGGCCGAATGGCAGCAACGCCCTCTATACTATTCAGACTGTCTTAGATTATGACTCTAGATTTCATATACAGTGCTCTCAAACATAATTTAAATGCTTAAATCCCCCGCGACAAAAAAAAAAAAAAAAAAAAAAAAAAAAAAAAAAAAAAG